CACAACAGTTGACAATCTCTTGGTAACTGTACCTGCACACCTCCCACAGCTATGCTTTGTTTATCAGCTGTTTACATCAGCATGCTGTTTAAACTGCCTCACAGTAATGTCTTTGTCTTTTCACGTCAGCATGTTTGTACAGCCCTCTCACTGCAATATTTTGTCTTTTTTTCACCTCTCCTGTAATAAAATTTTCTTTCTAATATGTTTAAATAAGCATGCCTTCAGAACTTCATCACAACAGTGTCCAGCTGTTTCTACAACTCTACTTCAGTAATGTGTTTTTTCCATATCTGTTTAAATAAACATGCCTGTATAACTCTCTCACAACAATGACCATCTGTTATACAACTCTCCTTCAGTAGCATTTTCTTATCCGTTTACAGCAACATGCTTGTGCTACTACTCCCTCACAACAATGTCCATCTGTTACACAACTCTCCCTCAGTAATGTGTTTTTTTTAAATATCTGTTTAAATAAACATGACTGTATCACTCCTTCACAAAAATGACCATTTGTTATACAACTCTCCTTCAGTAACATTTTCTTATCTGTTGACAGCAACACGCTTGCGCTACTCCCTCACAACAATGTCTATCTGTTGTACAACTCTCTCTCTCAGTAATGTTTTCTTTCATATCTGTTTACGGAAACATACTTATGCTACTCATGCACAATGATATATTTCTTGTCTGTGCAAATCAGCATGTTTTGTACATTAATGTCACCACAATTTATCTGTACACATCTGCACAACTCTCTCTGAGTAATTATTTATTTTCTGTATACATCAGCATTCTTGTACAACAACCTCACAGCAGTGTCTTGTCTTATCTGTGCACATCAGCATGTTCTAAACATTGATGTCACTATTTTTTTTATCCATTCACTCTGTTTGTATTCCCTGAGTGATTTTTTTTAATCTGTTTATCTCAGCATTTTTGTACAACTCCCTCATAGCAATGTCTTTTCTTATCTATCTATATCACATTTCACATCAAAACACCTCAGTGGCAGCTATAGTAGCACTATCAACTAGACCACTTCCAACATCAAGCACCTTACTAATAGTTATCATAATTTAACACAGTTCAAGTTTATAAAAATAAAAATAAATTTAAAAAAAAAAAAATACTTCTACACTCCAAGGTAGAAGACTAAACTAGAACATTAGCCAATAAACTTATATGTGTTTAACTATGACAGGATCAACTCACTGCACTAGATGTGATCCCATATGATTCTGGCTGTTCGCCCACCTAGATTATCACATAAAGCATGAGTTTACATTGCTTTACAAGTTGTCCCATTAAGTTTCTATACATAGGAACAATAAACATATCACTAACACTATTACAAGCATAACTCCATCACCATCTGTGCTTACGCATGTTCTTTAGCAGTGGGAGGACACCCATTGAAATTTATTTTCAAAACAATGGTGTTTTTTTTTTTGTTTTTTTTTTAAATAAAAATGTTAATTTTTTATGTGCATGGAAACTTATGGCACAAGCTGTAGTTGTGATCCCTATTCATCTCTGAATACCTGCATTTGCAAAACAAAAGAATGAAGGCCAAACCCATGATCTTCATATCACAAGATAAACAGCATCGAGCTGCACAAATTATCAACAGCATAAACACTGCACAAATTAACGTTCATTACAAACATGGAAAAGAAAAGATCAGAGATAAACCACATCAGCTGTGGAGCCAACATCTATGACTCAACACTGCCTGTCAGCAAACAAATTAAACGTCATTCTTATTTAAGGAAATATGGGAAACAAAAAAGGCTAGTAGATCCAAAATTCTACTATCTTTTGTGTGTGGTTGATTTGTATGGTTATAAATAATCTGGCTGAAACTGTGAATACTATGACTGGTCCAGAATTGGACTAGAGCGATGTCATCAAAGTCTTGTAAGGTGCATATCCCATAGAGACGGCCAGTGTTTGAAACCGTGCAGTTCCCGGGGTTCACCCAGCCTCTAGGAAATGGGTACCAAAGTTAACACTCTAAGGTAAATAGAGGTACGTCGCTGTAGCAACGGAGTTGCATGCGGACGGCAACACAGGCGGACACTTCCTTATCAGCTGTTGGTACTGATGGCAGAGCAATTATGGTTTATAACCGAGTGCAAAGACACTGGTTCACATCTCCCGACTTTACCTCCAACATTTTTTAGGGTGGTAAGACTAGGTTTCCCGGCTTTCTGATCCATTTAACGACCACAAAACATCAAGAACTGGCCCTAACCCCAACCCACCTACGTCCCACGAGAGAGTGCAGCCTAGGTCCTACGACTGCATGCAGCCTATCTACCAACCTCTGAAATATTAGACTGTCCCATGACCTGTGGATTTTCCCTGTTTGGGGTAGGATATTGAGAAAGCACTCACACAGATTACTACAGCAACAGGCATGGCTGCATTTCTGACCATGTTTTTGGAAATGGAGGTGCAATTTGAAACTGCCAGACATGAATGAACATTTCACTAAGCACATCTTTTCAGATGATGGTGTTCTATTATGCTATAGCAAAGCATGGGGAGTCGGGGGGGGGGGGGGGGGGGGGGGGGGTGGGGGGGGGGGGGGGGGGGGGGGGGGGGGGGGGGGGGGGGGGGGGGGGGGGGAACAAAGTTCCTTCTCTTCACAGCATGAAGCCTGGGCAGTATCTTCTTTGTGTTTACTGCCTGTAAACTCCGGCAGAAAGTTCTGGTTGTTCCGTCTACGTTCAGACTTGAGTCTTGTTCCAGTACATGAGTTCTGCATGCTTGAGTTTAAACAGTCTGGCTTATTTGTACACAGACAGTTGGTTCCTTGCCTCTCAGGGAGATGCACTCTGACTCTGAAGAAAACCCCTATCTAGTCAGCTCTTATAACATGTTTGTTAGGGAGGCAGTGAAACTATTCTTTTTTTTTTTTGTATGTTTCCCCACAATGGGGCCTCGTGACCCACACAGGAAACCTAGGCTGTATTACAGAGACCATGTGTTGCCCATGCAGCATGATTCCTCTTTAGGCCTGCTTTGTTAACTCCACAGGAGAAGTAACACACCAATATGCTTGGAAAAAAGCATGCTGCAGAAGTAAATAAGCACAGGATGTTTGGTTAATCAACATAGAACGGGTGTGTAAGTTGTTTTATGCTATTTACGCTGGGGCTCTGGCCCATGAAGATCCCCATTTTCACCATTAAGGCACTTGAGGAAACTCAGCTGAACAGACCTGGTCTAGCTTATGTGCAGACCCAACATGTCCCACCCATCTGCTATGGAACAACCTTTAAATTTAACTACATGTTAACAGGGCCCATAGTGTAATTATCATCATCATCATACATCCCTGCTGCTGTTAACAGTCACAGCAAGGAATAATTTGCAATCCAGTGCCCAGTGGCTGGCACTGGCTACTGATTAACCCTACAGTAAGCAAACAGCGAGCTACTGCCCACATTTACTCTTTTTTTTAAAGTGTGGAGTGGTCTTTGAGAATGAGGATTTAGGGCCGCATGAATAGTGCTGTCGCCGTGAACTGCGCAGGTTAAGATTTTTATTTTGCTGCTGACAAAAAAAGCCATAGCGTCACCGAGGTTTTGAACCTAGGTCTCCCGTTTGAGAACCCTGCGTTCTTAACTGTTGGCCAGCTACTGTTCGAGCTACAGTAACACTGTAACTGCACCTACCCTGCACTGTTTAAGAGGTGACTAGTGAGGACAGCCACCTCGTTGTGCAGAAAACACATTTTCTCCAGGTCATGCTGGTGTGGAGGAAAATAAACAGGCAGATAGACTAGCTGGTTCTTTACAACCTGGTGGTGAAGGGATGCATTACATGCTAGATATTGTAAGGGCCAAAAAGGGTTCGAGTGAGCAGGGCAGAGGCAGAGATGGACCATCATGGTCTGGAAAGAATGGTGCTGCGAGGAGTGACCAGTGGATCTGGCAGACGCTCAACACTCAGAGAAAAGGCGAGATGAATATACAATCATACCATTACTGGTAACATTGGAACTGAAACTCTGCACTTGCTGCTGAAGATGGGGGCCGAGCGCTTGTGAGAATGTCCAGAGTGCTGTGGTGTTGATTCTTAATTAAACATTAAGCAGAAAATGCTACCCTCCAAGTGCAACCAACCATGAACAAGTCAAGAGCTGTGCATGGATAAATTATGGTCCTATGCTTTGATCGCCAGCACAGCACCGGTATCACCTAACCTCATCCATGAAATGAGTACAAGAGACTTGCCGAGAAAGACCAAAATATGGCATTTACACTTTCTGTCCCAAACAACACACTATGTAGAAAGACCAAATATGGCATTAACGCTTTCTGTCCCAAACAACACACTATGTAGAAAGACCAAATATGGCATTAACGCTTTATGTCCCAAACAATGCACTATGTAGAAAGACCAAATATGGCATTAACGCTTTCTGTCCCAAACAATGCACTATGTAGAAAGACCAAATATGGCATTAACGTTTTATGTCCCAAACAATGCACTATGTAGAAAGACCAAATATGGCATTAACGCTTTCTGTCCCAAACAATGCACTATGTAGAAAGACCAAATATGGCATTAACGTTTTATGTCCCAAACAATGCACTATGTATGACTTGGTGTTATTCATGTGTATTAGTCAGCATGTTATCTAGGTGTTTTTTTTTAACATCTTATGTTTATTGAGCGACTCTGAAGAACTCTGACAACATAATTGTTTCCTGCAAGGGTCCCCTATATTTGGTCCCTCTGGAAGTAATTAACCCATGAGTTTAGCTTTACCAAACTTAACTCCCTTGAACGTTAGCTAGGAAACCCAGGGACTGAGAGTTAAAAGTGGGGTCAATTCAAAAAAAGAAAAACATAACTCAGTATAATTGTACGTGCAACCCGCACACATCCAAAATAAGTATCAATATCAGAGCAAATGAAACCCTGCTCCACAATTCAACACGACTTCAAAAAATTATGGTAAGATGGAACAAATATTTATATTAGGTTAAATCAATAAAGTCAAGGTCTGATGACAGTTTCGGAGCATCAGTCAACAGTGATGATGATGATGATGTTGCTGATGCTTTCATTGACATGAAGGGATGCAGTGTTTGCATATCATACAGTCTGTCTCTTTTTCTGGGTTTGCTGATCACCGCTTGTGTTTTGAATTTCATTTCCTCGCCATTTTCACTCTCCCCTGCAGATGATGATGATGTCAATGCTCCCACTGTCATAAAGGAATGCAGGTTTTGCCTATCCAACAATCTTTCCTTTCTGGGGGGCTTGTACATCCCCGCTTGTGTTTTAGATTTTATTTCACCACCATTTTCACTGTCCTCTGCAGATGATGATGATGTTAATGCTTTCATTGTCATGGGGGGATGCAGGTTTTGCGTATCCAACAATCTGTACTTTTTTAGTGGTTTGTTTATCCCCGCTTGTGTTTTAGATTTTATTTCCTCACCATTTTCGCCCTCTTCTGCAGATGATGATGATATTATTGCTTTCATTGTCATGGGGGGATGCAGGTTTTGTGTATCCAACAATCTGTACTTTTTTGGAGGTTTGTTCATCCCCATTTGTGCTTTAGATTTTATTTCTTCACCATTTTCGCCATCCTCTGCAGATGACAACGATGAAGGAGAAGATGACGGTGGCAATACGGAATGACAATGAGCTTGAACAAACCGGCTGATATGAGGCTGTTTGCCATGCAGTTTTGAGAGCACATTTTCCATTTTGGTGTTGCGTCTATCAAAAATTTTCTTCGGGTTTGATTTTAAGAGGGCGCCACTTCTCGGACCCTGTGTATGCACATATGTTTCTGAACCTCCAAATCCATCATATCCTCGTGTTATTACAGATGATACGTGGGCCCGTGAGTTTGACTGTGCAGTCAGTTTTTTCTTTAAGATGTTTAACACAGCTTGCGGAAGACTCGGAGGATCATCCTGTTGCATTTCTGCCCTGCTCTTCCTGCCGGCTTGGAGACGTTCTGCTGCTGTTGGAATATTAGCGAACTTTAATTTCGGTCCCTCTAATTCTTCCAAACATTTGCGTTTTAGATTACTGCGATGTAAACTGGGCGAATCATCAAAAAGATCGGGTGTCAGGCAAAAATTCTGGCTCCCATTTTCGTCATCATCTTGCAGATCATGTGACCTATCTATAAATCTTGGTGGAGTATATGCCACATTGGGACTATCCTCATTCAGAGCTCGGTGGAAACTCTGGCTGCCTTCTGTCTTATTGTGTCGCAGAGCATTCCTGAGATGTACCAGCTTCCGTCGATTTTCGTTGTTGTCTTTCTCCGCCTGAAAAAAAAAAATAAACGAAGCAATTAGTTATGCTAAATTTCTTGCACTGGAACTCATAAGGTTATAGGAATAAGGGCAGACCCAAAAAAAAGGAGAGATATACTCTTAGGTTTAGACAATGGATCAACATCATGGCACAAGGGGTAGCCCATAAGTGCTCCGTTCTTCTGACTCAAGCCTGAGTCTTAAGAATCTCAATGAACTCCGTAGCACCGGCGAGGATCCCAAAATACTTTGAAGAGAACAATTAAGAAACTGAAATAAGACAGGAAGGACACGGGGTGACATAGATGATAGCAAAGGATAAGAGGACTTAGTAAGAGTTGGCTGAAGACCTATGCTTCATTGGGGAACAAGCGCAGAAAAAGAAGAAAATTATTTGTAACAGTTTAATGTATAAATGTGACAGAGAATGACATATAACTATGCCTGAAAAAACAGTTTCACTTTTGTTTTTCCTGGCTTTTGACTGCAACTAGTCTACTTGGACTGGACACTGTTCAGTGATTCAATGAGTATGATCCGGAGGGTTCAGGCAGGTTCGGTGCGAAGAGAATAGCTTGAATCATTACAGAAGTCCACTGTGTGTGGAGTCACCTTTATTTTTGTTCCGAGACACGCAGGCGTCGATGGAAATGAAAGAGCTGACAGGTTGGCTGGATCCGCTATCACTACCGACGGTCAGCCTATGGATCATGCTGATATTATTAATGCTCTCAGAGAAATGGGAAGGATAGAAGACTTTGGTGGCAGTGAATCCACATCACTCGCCAGAATGGCAGACTTGGGAATTAAGATCGGTATAGCAAAAAACGAGACGCACACCAGACACGCCAGAAGACTTGTTAATCAACATAGAACTGGTACTATTAGCCATCGGACGTTGGGATTCTAGTCAGGGGAAGATCTGAGCACCTATGGACATGTCCGGAGTGCAATGATGATAACCCAACTAACTAACTAACTAACTAACTAACTGTTCACTGTTCATTTAAAGATCATTTGTATCGCAGATCTATAAGTGTTCTGATCTCCTCCTGAGCATGTCTCTCAGCGTTTTTAGGCTAACATTCTATTCTGGTTGATGTAATGACAGCTGGCTCTTGCGGTTTTCTTGTCTTGTTGCTCCTGAGCATGTCTCTAAGTGTTTTTAGGCTAACATTCTATTCTGGTTGATGTAATGACAGATGGCTCTTGCGGTTTTCTTGTCTTGTTGCTCCTGAGCATGTCTCTAAGTGTTTTTAGGCTAACATTCTATTCTGGCTGATGTAATGACGGGTGGCTTTTGCGGTTTTCTTGTCATGTTACACCAGCTGGTACACACAGAGTGCATTCCATTCAGTAAATATAATTTTCCATGAAAATGAATCTCACAGCGTTTACTCTCTCTTATAGTATTGATGATGTCTCTCCTGTCCATAGATGGCCCATTCTTGATAGTTGGTGGCAGCCAGAGCATCTGCTCTCTTCTTGCCTTTAATATCTGCAGGCCATGGGACAAAAATGAAGGTAATTTTGCAAATCGCTGCATGCTGCATCAGATGGGTCCACTGTTTTAATATATACTGACTTGGTCATCTGTAGCATGCTCATTGAGTTGCTGAGCAAACATGCATTCATGAATTCCTGAGTTTTCAATCATTCTAGGGCCGTTGTCACAACTATGACAATTAACGAACAATTATCCATTTAGCCAACATTCACTGTGGAGACTGCACCTTACTGATCAAGTCTACCTGAGAGACAGCAAGTCTCAGCATCTTGCATCATCTGGTCTCAACCCTTTGTAATGAAAGAACTTGTCAGTAACTAGGCAGCCATCACACATCGCACCATTTGGGCTCACTGGCACACACTAGCCCTTCTAAAACAAGGTGAAGACACAAAGGAAACATTTGAAACAGAAGTTTTATACTCTTACTTGACTCAGTGCCTCTTGGGTCTTTTCCAAGTCTGTCCTCAGTTCTTTCGCTTCCATCTTAGCTTTTCTTGCTTCACTGTGATAGTGCCCAATAGATTGCTTCAGTTTAGATGTCTGCTCTCTCAAGATTTTTTTATCTGCCAGAACCTGCAATGAATATCAGTTAAAGGTGTATATCACTGTATTTGCTTCAGCCCCGATATGCCAGTGATCTGATACCTCCATCTGTTACAAATCCTTGCGAAGCTGTTAAACCAGCATTGCTGCACTGGTCAGTCCTTAAAACGGGTAGTTAATGGCGTTGGTTCTGTTTGAGCCTGTACAGTGTATATGAGGGCTGGATATGACTATATTTACTAAAATTAACAGTGGGGGGGGGGGGGGGGGTTTTGCTATTATGAACAAAATTGTTTACAGTTTTTATGACATCATAATTTTCCATTCGTCTTACCCAGTTGCTTATGGAAAGGATAACTGTATACATTTTTTTAGACTAAGGAAATGTACATTTAATTATCAGCTCTGAAGACATTTTATTTATTACTCCTTTTCATATATTTTGATGGCAATTTTGAAGTTTTATAACACATTTTTTTTTTAAATTGTGACCTAAGTAAAATTATTGTTGTAAAGCGTCTTTTGCGGAGGAGGGGAGAGTGGGTGGGGGTGAGATTTAGGAACTCCCAAGTTCTGGGCCTCTTCCTCCCATAAATGTTGCACTCTCTTGAGAGTATCCATACCTGGAGATAATTCTTCAGATGAGAAAGTGGGTAGAGAGTCCTGATGATTTTTAGCAGGCTGGGTAAAAGGCAGGCTGGCTCATCAGGCTACAGCTGGCACCTTCAGCATGGGAACTTAACTGACTACTGAGGAAGGGGACATCAGAGTATGCGTGTGTGTGGGAATGTCCTGAATGCAATGATGCAAGTTCCTGATTCATTTATTCCATATTCTTGCAACAAGCTATACAAGGTTTTATGAAAATCAGATACAAGAGTGAGAGAGTACCTAAGAAGATAATTGACCTCTTTGGAATTATAACAATGGAGATACAGTGGCCTCGCATGGAATGAAAATAGCCAGAGCCATCTATGGACCACAGAACTACCAACTGTTCCTCTTCATGAAGCGTGATGGCAACAGTGTAAGGTAACGATAATAATGTCAGTTATAGCTAACCCTGTCACACAGAGAAGCCACAAATCGGACACTTCTGGCTGGGTCTACTTTCCAAAGAAAACCACTTAACTGGCAAGTCTACACTGACATATTTACAAGATGCACTGTAAATGCTACTGGTTGTGTTTGCACCTACAGAGCTTATAACAGGTTAGATATGGTTATCAAAAATAGCATGGGAGTAGGCTGTGTTACTGTGAACCAAATCACTTTTTTACATAATTGTTAACAAACACATTACATTTTTTCTTTAGCCCTAATGATAAAGGTCACAGCATGAGCCATCCATGATCTAGCCTCCACCCTGAGACCATACAAGTGAAAAGAAGAAAGATGACAATGAGATAGAGAAAGGAGAAAGAGGACAATGGAGGAAGAGGTAATAGAGGAAAACAAGAAAGAAAAGAAGGGATGAATTTCATGTCTGAAATCCATGTGAAATGATAAAATATCTTCAGCTGTATAAACCTACTATGAATCAAACAGAAAAAAAGGTTCTGATTGTCAGAAGAGGTATACCACTCTATAACTATACCAGCCTCTTTACATACCTTGGTGTACTCCCTCTTTACGACTGTCACTAGACTAGCCAGCTGCTTAACGGATGATTCACCAGCCTCGGAGTACTGACTGACAACGTCTTGGATTTCAGAGTCGCAACCTGTCAAAACAAAGGTGAAATCATGCGTACATTGAGGCAGCAATGCAGACGGAGAATTCTTACACGCTACACAGATCCAGTTTTAACACAGGGCCTCCCCATGTGGGACCTGGGTCCGCACTGAGGTAGAGGGAAAAAGAAGACCCACTGCCTTCCTAACAAACTTGTCATAAGAGTTGACTAATTAGGGGTTTACTTTGAAGTCGGAATGCATCTGCTTGAGAAGCAAAGAACCAACAGTCTGTGTACAAATAAGCCAGATCTGTGAAACGAATGTGCACACAAAACTCAAGTTCTGCAGCAAAAAACTCAAGTTCTGCAGCAAAAAACTCAAGTTCTGCAGCAAAACTAAAGTCCAGACATTGAAGAACAACTAGAACTTTGCAAAGGAAAAAAAAACATAGGGCTATGAGTTCTAGATAGTTATCCTAGATTTGTAACAAGCCAATAAATACCTTGAAATTTCATAAATGTGGTTTAATATCATCATCATCATGTACCCTCCAACTGGCGTAGGCGCTCATGCTCAGATCACGATCCCTGGTTGCCTGAAACAGCTCTCTTGATGAGTTCCCTCCATGCCATTGTTTCAGCCTATCCATCATCACCTCTCTTGATCTGCCTCTAACCCTTTTTCCACTGATCTTTGCAGTTGTCACGATGTTCTCCAACGTCTCTCTTCTCATTACGTGGCCAAAAACAGTATTTGTCTTTTTTTTAATGTTGTATATAGAGATCTACTTTCATTAGCTTTTTTTCAAAATCGTTGTTAGTTACTCTGGCCGTCCAAGGTATTCGTAACATTCATCTCAGAAACCACATCTCTGTTGCTTCAAAATTCTTCTTAATTTGTTCACTGACATTCCAAGATTCGCTGCCACACAGCAGAACAGGTTCTATGTAACATTATAGCACTCTTTTTGGTTCAAAATAAAAATGCTTAAAACTCTTTGGACGGCTACAGTTAGTAATCCATGTTTTGAAAGAGACACTCCTGAGTTGGTCCAACACCATATTTTGGAAAAAAAAGATTCGGAAGGGGGATGGGGGGTGGGGTGGGGTGGGGTGTTGAAAGAGATGACTCACTGTCCCCTAACAATCATTTCATAAAAGATGACTGATTATCAGTTTGATGAAATCGGATGTATCGGGTCAAAAGGTGAAGATGTCACAGCATAGCCGTAAACCACAACACAACATACCAACCACCCTTTTAACCCTGTTGCCCTAAGCTGCCCCGAGCCAAGTATTTCAGACTGTGACTTGATCCTGTATGTGCCACTTACCTGGCATTCCTGCTTTGGCATATTCCCAAGAAACCTAGTTAATGGTATTGAATTCTGTTTGCACTGAGCAGTGTATAGGAGGCCCAGATATGAACACATTTACTTTAAAAAAATTTATAGCGCTTGTGAATAAAATCAACTTTTTGAAAGCTAGTTTGACATCATAATTTACCTATAGCCTTGGTGTTAGAATTCTGACAAGGTCACAGTGATATTTTAATATTTTTGCCCCATGGAATGTATTTCATTTAGTGCTTCACTCTGTTAGTTTACTTCCTTAAAAGGGAAGGACTGAATCATTTAACAGCTGGGAAGATTTTTGAAAGGAGACAGAGGAACGAACAAACTTTATTTTCAAAGGGTTACAAATTGGGCACGCAGGCCAGTCTGACATTCGGCCCTTCTGAGCACTCATCTTTCAGAGTAACAATGCCTGTTATCAATAATGCATGTTATGCTTACAAGGTAGACAAAGGGAGAATCCTGACAGCCTTCTGTCATGCATGGGATGGTGTCAGAACAAAAACCGATACACGCTATGATCAGATTTGGAAAAGCATTACCACCCATCCCAGTTAGCAATGAACTTAATGATGATGATGATGATGATGATAGGCAAATATTGAGAAACGCATCAAGTACTGAAAATTAGAATATTAAAAAAAATTTAAAGGCAGAATCACAAGCATATCTAATTAGTAGTGTAGACAAATTGCTACAATTTGTTTAACATACTGCCTTATCAACTAAACAGATAAGAACTAGTTCTCATAATAAACACAATTTTCTGAAGTTTTTACCTGTCAGAATTGACTCAATGTTCTGTAGTTCATGCAGTCGCTTCTGTGTTTTTCGGAACTCCTTCAGCTCTTCAGCAAATGCAGCATTCTCCTTTCGCATCAGCCTGAGATCCCTTTGCAGGACATCCTGCACGTTCTGTGCTTCATGAAGCTTCACACTAAGTTCTATCCTATCGGCTTCAGAGGCTGCAAATCGGGCAGAGTAGTAATCTCGGGACTCTGCAATTTCTTGCTTCTGTTTGTCCTTCTCACTAACCTGAGCCTGTAGGTATTTGAGGTTAAACAAAGTTTTCACTGATAACCAGCATCAGAAAGTGGCAATGCACATTGTTTGGTCATGTTGTGAGAAGAAAACTAGAGTATGATGTTAAAAAAATGGCAAAGACCTAGAACCATTATAAATGCTCTCAAGGAGGCTGGACGAGAAAATGATTCAGACGATGACAGTGAGTCAGCAACCCTCAAAAGACTACAAGAACTTCAGATCAAAAGAGGTGTAGCCAGACATGAACATTATAAAGGTAGCCAAAGAAGAATAGTAAACCAACACAGAACTGGTGTTATCAGTAACCACATGCGGAGGGATATACTGAAGATGGGATCAGAGCACTTATAGACTTGTTTGATGTACAATGAAGATAATCAGCCGATTAACTAACTAAAAGGTATAAGCAACAAAAAAGATAGGCAGTGGGGACCATAAGATAAAATGTTAACAGTCTGAAATCATAGCATGGAAGAACATATGTATCAGAAATGATTGAAAGTACAAGAGACAGAAGGCATGATTACCATAACCGTACGTCATGGTCTATTAGACAAAGAAACAAATGACAGAAGGTTCTTCTCCTTTTGCTGCCTTCTATTCCCCCAATGGAGAAAAAACCTCAACCAACTCATTCTATCCTTCACTACTGCATGCAGTTCACTCTATGTTCTCCCCATCTTTTTAACTTCACTCTAGCTCCTTCTCCATCTGTTTTTTTGTTTTAGTCTCCATTATTTCTATTCACCTGTGGGTTCTGGTGCAAAGAAATTCTAGTTATATTGTTCTTATGTTTCCTCAACGTGTGTCCTATCCAACACCAGCACCTTTTCTTTACCTCTTGGTCCACTGGCGCTTGTTTAGTTCTCTCCCAAAGCTCAGCATTGGGACAGAAGGTTAAGGAGGAGATATTTATTTTTTATTCTTTTTAAGAATTACATACCACACTCAAAATACATACAGATATTCTTTTTTATTACAGCAAATGTAATAAAGTGTACACGCTAAATATTTCAATATGTTGTAAAGATGCCTCAATGTTTCTATCAGATGACACACCACCCCCCTCCCTCCTCCACCAAATCCCTTTATCAGACCTTTACTCAGCTGTACCTTTAGACATCTTTGCACCTCATCATCAGTTACAAAGCATTTATTAGGCTCAACTTTTTTTTTTTGAATAGGTCGGGAATCTGCAGGAAACTGGAAGTTCTCGAAAAAATCATGGAAAAAATAAAACCATTTTACACAGGTCACTAACAGATTTTTAAAAATGTATTTATTCATCTTTATTTTTAATTTAATCAATACATTAACACAGTGAATCATTTAAGGATTACATTTCCTGGGGCCTAAAACTAAACACATATCGGGTGATTCATGCCATGACCTTTAACTGATGCTACAGGGAAAATCTGGAAGAGCCATTTCGTTCACAAGAAAACCTACCTAAATGCTAATTTTAGTAAATATATTCATATCTGGGCCCACTAAATGCTGCGCAGGCACAAACCAAACCATTAACATTAAATTACACTTTTCAAAAACAGGTCACTGCAGAAAGTCCAGTTTCGGGGCCTTTGCAGGAGTTTGGCAACAATGGTAAAGGGGTAAAAGGTTTTGAAAAATCAGATATAAGAGCGAAAGGGTGCCTAAGAAAACGATACACATCTTTGGAATCATGACAGTGAAGATACTACAGAGCCACCCATCGACCACAGAACTACCAACTATTCCTCTTCTTAAAGCAAGATGGCAACAGTGGAAGGTAATTAAAAAATGTTAGTTTACCATGTCAAACAGAGAATTTGCAAATCTGATGCTTCCAGTTGGGTCTAATTCCCAAAGAAAGCTACTTAACTGACTAGTCTACAGTGACAGATTTACAAGATGTAAAGTTAATGCTGCAAGTTGTGTTTGCACCTGCAGAGCATATAAGTGGTTCGATTTTTGCAATTATATTTATCAAAAATAGGAGTGGGTGTGGAAAGGTGCGGGGGATCATGTGAACCAAATGGCTTTTTTAAATGACTGTTAATGATTTTACTAAATTTTTCCTTTAGCCTCAGTGACAGAGGTCACAGCATGAGTCATCCAATACCTATTTTCTTAAATCCTCAAGAAATGTTTACCATTTAATGCTTTACCTGTTCATGAAACTGATTACTCCATTTATAAAACTTACATGTTTCAGTAACACAAACAACAAAATTAATGTAGATACATAATTATTTAACAAGTTTATTGGCGACATGTGTAAAATGGTTGTTTCTTTAAAAGGACTGTTTTGGGGGAATTCCAATGGGTTCATGACCTATTCTGTTTTAACCATTTTGACAGTCTCAAAGACCTAGACCCTATTCAGATGTGAAAAGTAGCTGACAGTTGATGCAGTTCTCAGTTGCGTAAGGAAACTGTCTGAAGAAACATACCTTCAAACTGCCAATCTGGTTGAGCAGCCTGTCCACATCTTCAGGTTCACAATCGTCTTCTCGAATATCGAAGAACAAACGTTTAATTATCTGGAGAGGAAAAAACCACAAGCATGCAAATTTTAAAAATCTACCCAGCTGACTCAATTTAATCAACTGTGACTAAAGCATGTTTACAAAATGGTTTTTCCCACTTAGAGAGAAAGCCTTGGATATCAATCCATACTACCACATAAACACAAAATTCAAGATAGGCATATCAGCCATGTGCACCTGTGGAAAGGTGCCCCAGACAGCAGAGCATGTACTCCAGGGACTGCACCGAATTTGACACATTAAGGCAAACCTTTTGGCCAGAAAGAACAACAGTGGAACGTAAACTCTATGGACCACTGAATGAATTAACAACAGTGACATTTATACAAGAGACAAAATTGCTGATATAGACAACTTATGTCAGGTGAACGAAAGAAGAAGAAGAATCCATACAACAACAGAGGAGAGGAACGTAGAGCAAAACGTAGACCAAGAACAAGATGGAAGGAGAACATCAGAAAAATTCTGCAACAGTATGATGTGCCTATGGTCAAGGTGGCCAGAAGAACAAGAAGCAGAGCCTTACATCTCCCATTGACACTGTAAGTGGTAAAACAGGAAGTCAAGGCAAGAGGACAGATTTCATTGCAGTCAGTTTTTTTTTTTTTTTCCAACATGGTTCAGTCTCTTTGTGCAGAGCAGCTTGTCTTCTACCAAGAGAACAGCCCAAAGTACAAAACTGTAGCTCCAAGGGATCTCTAAAACATCTGCACATGATGGATTTAAACACGAACAAAAAACCTTCAGAGCATGAGACAAGCAGCTTAAGAACACAAAAAAATAGCCTTAATTTGAAAAGGGTGTTGAGTTAGTCATGTGTCGAAGTACACTTGTTCTTGCAGCAAGGCACTGTCATCATCTGGATGTTCGATTCCCAATATGCTAACTAACAATAGCCTTTGATTTTTTGTAGGTCTTATGTGTCCGTTTATCTTGCTTGCTTCTTTTTATGAGTGCCAATCACTGCAGGTCAATTTGTTTTATTATATTAAGATAAAACTTTGACAACACAAATTGCAAAGGACCGGAAAAAAATTAAAGCGTTCTTGTAAAAAAAATATACCCTTACCAAAGACTAATAATATACTATCCTTCCCAGGGACCAACATTTGTGTTCATGTTAACCAAGCTCTTCTCTACGTGAGTTCACGTTAACAAGATTTTACTGATTTTAGGAGAACAATTTGATTATCTACTCGGTAAATGCAGCTTTTCCGTGGCTAGAGACCAAGATGCATACATATGATTTGGTTTCATGATTTGATCAATCTGAGGTGAAACATGTCAGACAATAAACTGTGCAATCTATCTGTGTCTTCTTTGTCCAAATTTACAATGGGGGAACATTGCTTTGATAAAAGAACCTACCTGATTTCTCTTTACATTTGAGCGACAGCTGGGACACGTGGATGATGTCTCCATCCACCGCATCAGACAGTCCTCGTGAAATGTGTGGCCACATGGTACTGCCGCGATGTTCACAGTCTGGCAGTTCTCAAACAGGTCAGAACAGATGCAGCACTGAGCCCTCATCATAAAACTTTAGCCACGACTCTTCATCTGAAAACTACAATAACACTTTCATTTGTAATAATCATCATCATCAATCATTTTTCTTTTTGTGTCACTTGCCATTTACAGCTCTTACTGGCTCTATGTATTTCTGGTGATCTCACACGTGTCAGAGATTCAACTCGCCAGAGAGAGATGTGACTTCATTTGGAGATACTTCAGTTAAGTTTCCCGTTTGGGTTCCGATGCCCTGTTAAAGGAAAAACAAGAACAGACCACTGCCTACCCAAAAGCATGTCGTAAGAGTCGGCTAATTGCGAGCTTCCTTCAAAGTTAGGAGTACATCTGCCTAAGAGGCAAGAAACCAACAGTCTGCATACAAATTAGATCTGTCAAACGGATGTACACGCAACACTCAAGTTCTGGAACAGGAGTGCAGTCCAGAAGTGGATGAACATCCAGAACTTTCCCCCAGAGTTTACAGCTGGTGAACGCAAAGAAGAAGAAGAAGACTTCACTTAAGTCATTTTGTGTATTCTTGTTCACATTTGTGGTATTCTCTATGTGATGTGCTGATGAAGGCTCTCTAACCACAATATTCACTTGTTGCTTGTGTTTGTGATAATGTGAAGCTGACTGGTTCTACATTTAATCTGGTTAGATGTCTCTTCATATTTTTATCACCCATTAAAGAATTAACTTCAGTTCCAGTAAATGAAGATGAGAAAAGACACTGGCTTTGGACAGAACACAGTGAGAAAACAAATAACTAGAATTTTCTTGCATGTTCTTACACTGAAACCCACTGGATCAAAGGAATAAAGGCACCCCCCCCCCCCCCCCCAATGCACAGAGAAGTTAATTTATAATTAGCAAATGAGGTGAAAAGATGGTGAGAAAATAGGGTGAACTGTGAATGATGGCAAAATAGGATTACTTGGCTCAAGCTGGTTGAGGGTCTGTGCTCCATTGGGGGATACAGTGGAGAAGAAGCACTCAAACAACTTGTGCCAAATCATTCTATCCTTTGTTGCTTATGCAACTCATTCCATGTCCTTCACAGTTGGCAGGCTTTTGTGGCTAAGATTGTTTTTTATTATTTTTTATAACAAGATAAGGTAGTTTGCTCCACTTTTTTCAAAGATTCAGCAACAGATGAATATAATTTATTATGAAGAACAACATCAACGTTGTCACACTGATTACAAATTCAAATGTAAAATTTAATCAGAAAATAAACTTCTTCAGCATTCCGAGCCCTTGAGATTCATTGCTGCAGATATCACACGCCTCCACTTATCTCTCTGGTTGGCCTTCTCTTTCCAGTTGGTAACACCAAGTATTTGCAGGACTCTACGGACATTATCTTTCTATCGTATCCTGGTCTGCCTCATAGTCTACGACCATTTATTTTCCTTGTGTATACAGTTTTTACCTCTCTGTCATCTGACATTCTTTCAATATACCCCAGCCATTTCAACCTTTTAGATCTAACGATGCCAATGATCAATGGTGATTTAAACAGATTATGAATTTCATTGTTGCTTCTCACTCTCCATTCCCCGCTGTTTACATCTTTGATAGGTCCAAAGATTCGTCATTAAACTCTGTTTTCAAAAACCTGAAAATAAACTGTTTGATAAAATACTTTCAAAACTAAAACTAAAAGGTGTCTGTGACTCAGGCAGGCTGACGTGCTTCATAATACCAGGTTGCTGGGTTCATCCTAGCTGCAGGCGATCTGGCACCAGACCACTTTCCATCCATCCATTTATGAAAACAAAACACACACAAAATTGACCATGCTCAACCTACAGTGAGCAGTATTGTCTATAATTGTGGTCTGGTTTCTTTATGCCAAGTATGTTGGTAAAGAAGTGTTAATTGCACCAAAACAATTACCTGCTTATGTTTGTTGGGGAGGGGGTTTTGCTGGAACGAAATTTTTTTTAATCCTCAGGTTCAGCCAGCATCCCTGAAGGGGACACTTTAGGTTATAATTGTGCCTAGGTTATGTGCGCCATATAAAATAACTTAACATTTCACAAAAATGTGTTTTCCAGGAGTTTTCTTTCCTATTTATGTAGGGTGCATGTTAGCAGGAAGTGGTCTATTGTGTGGGCTTGCGAGGAAACCATCGTAAATAACCACTAAAACAACTGGACGAAGCTGCTGATAAAGCTTCGAACTGGCTCTGGATGCAATGGAACGTCGTAGGGGATAGGCCTTGGTAGAGTGGTCTGTCACTGCAGGAACGGAGCTTCTTATCCCTTAAAAGCAAAAGTGTTTGACTTATGCCTGCCAGTGTCCCTCTGCCAGTTGCCAAAGTCTAACATGTGTCTGATGAACCATCCGTAAGCTAGTCACTTGGTCGTTAAAGTAGCCGGCTGGTCTAATTGGCTATCACAGCGACAACATAAATATTTAAGTTAAATTTTAACTCTCACAGTATCCGTTACATAGTCACCATTTCATCTTGTTCCTGTCCGAGAACATCCGGTAAAGTGTGGCAGGAGAAGATCAAGGCCTGGGGGTCAGTACCCAGGTCGGCTCACCCTCTGAAATTGTTAAGTAGGTAATGGGCCAAAACAGTTGTTCAATAAGGATCTTCTATGGATGATCGGTGGATCGCTGTACATGCTCCACTGTGGATTTCTTCTTATTTATTATTGTTTAGACCACCTTATGTTGGTTTCGACAGTGAAATAGACAGCCGACCGATGTGAGAGCAATGGCAAATGATGAAAGTAAATTTTTAATTTACGTACAAGATTATGATTAAGAAAAACTGAAATTACCAAAAAATGCAGGGGTTGGTTCTGCAACGTCAAAGGATACGCAACTAACTTACTTTAATACTAGCACCAAAAAAATCAAAAGTAACAAACGCCAGACTTTAATCATGGACTACATTTTTCAACTTGTAATAGTAATTAACTTGTACTAACTACTTGTCAGTGTTTCGTTTCACTGTTTCCAGCGAGTGACCGTTCGATACGGTTATGTTTGTGTTTGACTGTTTCAACTAAACTTGGGTCGCTGCAGTTGCCAGCTACGCTCTACGACTATGAAAGTCAAACAACCATAGCAAAACTAGAAACAGAACATAAGTTTTTTTACAATAGTGTATGCGACTGATAAGCTTTACAAAAATAGACTAATGCCTTAATTTGGTAAGAGAGTTCTCACTGAACTCGCTGCGAATCTTACCACCGGCTTGTTTGGAGGATTTGAAGTTCAGCGGTTGCGAGTTCTTCTTTGACAGAAAACACATATCAGAGTCTTATTTATAATTTTATAAATTAGAGAGCTTTATTTACGCTTTATACTTCTTTATTCTACTTTATACTTCTTGTCCCAAGAATGCTGGTGTGTAAGGCAATAAGAGGGCAGACGCCATGGCTGGCAGTGCGATTATCATAAATGGGCCATCTATTGACATGAGAGACACAATTATTGCCATATAAAAGACTAAACGCTGAGAGGCTTTCAGTTGAAAAATGATTTTTTTTTAATTGATTAGACTGCATACCAAGGGCGTACCAGTTGGAGCAGCGAGACAGGAAAACTATACGAGAGCCACCAATCGTTACATCAACCAGAATATAATGGAAGTTATTGGCCTGAAAATATTTGGAGACCTAGGAGGAGATAGGAGAACTTATGGTCATGTCCGATGTGCGATGAAGATCATCTTTAAATGAACGTCTTCCCATTATCATCATCGTTGTTGTTGTTACTGTAGCCGTCCGAGTGTACTTTGTCATGTAGCGTTGATGTTCATGTCTTCATCTTTGTGTTTGTCCATCGGAGCGCCGACTCAATGAAAACATCTATATTTTTTGGGTGGAAAAAAAGGGGGGGGGGAGCTTTTTGTAATGCTTTAGATGTCGGAGTCTGTGGCTGGGATCCCGATTCCTCCTGCGGACGATTTGTCTTAGGCTGGTTTCGACAGTGGTACTGAGAGCTGACCGTTCAGGGAAATGCCAAACTACTGAACACAAAATGTGTCTAGAAAAACCACAATGGCCAATAAATGCTGGGGGTTGTTTCTGCAATGTCCTGTAAAGGATACGCAACTACATTAAACGCTTTATGTAAGTCTTAATTTGTTCTTTTTAAAATTTACACATAAACAAATTGCTGTGAGACCCTTGAGGCATTTAAAACAGTCGCTAAACACACTGTAATGTGCTTATTGTCTCTCCGGTTTCTACGTCTTTCTTCTTCAGAGAGAGATGAGATCGGATACAGCTTGAGGACATGCGCATCATACTTGCATGAACAAAGAATACAGCACGCAGGGCTATATGTTACCACCTTGATCTGATTGTCCAACCATGGAAGAAGGGTAGCAACTTCAAAAATAGGAAAATCCTTCGTGGGTCAGGCCGAGGACATTATTCAACAAGTTTGTTGGTGTACACCTTTTCTTTCTTTGTTTCTTTTTTTTTTTTTCAGACCACATAAAATTGGACTGACTGACCGACTTTCTACCCCACCAGGACATCACACAAGCGATAAACACCCGATGACACAAAGTGCCACCATGTGGATGAGGATCGCCGTGGAGTGGTCCCAGAAACCGCGTTCAGACATTTGGCCATGTGTATGGCCTGCCTATATTGCGGCCCCTAGCAGAAGCCAGAGTAGGGCTTCAAATGACGAAAAATTTCGTCCTGAAAAGGACGAGATTCAAAATAGTAATTATAAAATTGGACACAGAATGTAGACAACAAAACGCTTTAGTGGTTGAGAAAATGTTCAGGTCTTAATACTTGAATATTCCGCTGATGGAGGTGCAGGTTTAAATGCGGACCTGTACGTCGTGCGACGTTACAAAGCTCACTGGCTTTCGCAGTTAAGGTTCAGGGGGAAAACTGTAAAAGAAGATAGTGGTGCTTGTGCCCCGACTACAAGTAGTCTGTCTATGGAGGTGATAGCGATAACAAAGGCAATGATGTGGTGGCTGGAGATACATAATTTTTCTCGATCGAAACAGGATGGATTCGAAGAAAAGATTGGAGTCGCTGAGGAAATATAATCTGATAGGAATCGGTTTCATTTTTTGTGCCAGGCCACTCTGTGTGATAGAAAATAAACGAACGAATTGGCTTGCTGGCAGAGTCACGGTAGGTACAGTAAAAGCAATGGACCAGGCCGACAATCTCAATGCTCAAGGAAGCAGGACGAGAAGATTATTCAGGAGACGACAGTGTGTCAGCAAGACTCAAAGGACAACTAGAACTTCATGTTATAATAGGGGTTGTCAGACATGAACACTATACAGGCAGCCAAGGAAGAATAGTAAACCAACACAGAACTGGTGTTATCAGTCGCCATATTCTAACGTCTATACTGAAGATGGAATCCGAGCGCTTTTGGATATGTAGGATGCACGAGGATAATCTGTTGATTAACCTACTACAGGTATGTGGAGAAAATGATTCAGTTGGGAGTGAGCAGAAGATCTAGGTCTGGAAGGTTTTCTACCCGCATGGAGTGCTGGGGGCGGGGGGGGGGGGGGGGGGGGGCTTTTAATAAGGTTGCAACTGGCACAATCAGAATGAAAACTCGCTGGTTGAGTTGTGCGTATTACGTATGAGAAAGTCCCCAGCGCATGGATGTCAATTCATGATCCAATCATTTATTCATTCTTTCGTTGAAGTTATCTTGCCTAGTAAACAACTTCCGTATCCGGTCCAAGATGGTGGACCGTTAATCCGAGCAGACTACACTCTCTGCATCAAACCTGCGATTTATTCTTGTATGCATCAGTTTCTCCTTGTCTTTTTATTCTGAATTGGATTTAATAACGTTCTAAGGAATAAATGCATCTTTGAGTTAAATATTGCGAGTCTAATATATTTTGGATCCCTGTTTCTTATGTATGAGTATGTGGGAAATAAATTAATTTATTAAAATATTATTATATTTTCTTACAAAATAATACTAACATAAATATTTAAATAATTATTAACAAATATATATATTTGCTAAGTAATAGAGTGTGCGATATATTGTTTATGCCCTCATTATTTAAGTTTACTGTATGAAAGCATTTTCATTGTTTTGAGTTCAGTTTATTTTTTTATATTATTTATAATAGAAGTATAAGTATGACAATTATTTATGAATTGAATTTGAATTATTGTTTTTTTTCTTTCTTGTTGAGTTATGCAATGCTTTTTTGTAATGAAGACTCCACTGTGTGAGTTCCCGGACTCATAAGAGGTGGTGGCTGGGGGGAGTTCCACTTCCACACTTCCACTTCCAAACTAGCATGAGATAAATGTGACTAATTTAGAACTTGCGGAAGTCTGATCAAGGGCCGAAAGGCACAGATATTACAGCCTATAAATTGTAAGCCACAACACGCCAAACCAACCACCCTTTTAAAGGTGAATGAAGAAGACATTTGGGCTATCTTCCGAATAACGATCCCAAATTATCGAGGCGGAAAATATACTCTAACAGAGCCTCAGCCACATGTCAATTGCGAACTTCCGGTGACTTAAATTGCGTACTACCAGTGACTTCCGCCACCGTCGAGAGTATCCCCCACGCCCGTGAGCGGCGTGGATTGGGGCTTAACTAGATGGCTGCAACTCACGAGCAGCAGCTACCGCATCTCCTGCAGCCTCCTTCATTTTATTTGCTCGTGAGTCCCAGCCATCTAGTTTAGCCCCAATCCACGCGGCATGGGGGATACTCTCGGCAGTGGCGGTATAGTCCCCGGAAGATTGAAATTCAGGGGTGGCGGTATAGTCCCCGGAAGTGCGCAATTGACACCTGACTGAGGCTTTGTTAGGGTATATTTTCCACCTTGATAATTTGGGACCGTTATTCAGATGATAGCTGACATTTGTTAAGATGCTCCAAATCTTTTGGAACTGATCATTTTGTTTAAGAATAAAACTGCTGACATTGTTGTCTACAAAATTCTCAGGACCGCTGCGATGGATTCCTACCCTCTTTCTGACCATGGCATACATTCCGGGTCTAGCCACAGTCCAGGCTTGTTGCATGATGAACATCTGCAGCAACTTCATCAGTCAATACAGCAGCAACAGCAGCAGCTCCATCACCAGTTGTCATCAGGCAGTAGCAGCATCAGCGATTTGATTGGAATGTTGCCACAGACAGCATCACTGAACTCCTCAGTGTCAATGTCATCTTCAATGTCGGAGTCTCCCCTCGGCCATGGCATGCAAGGTTTGTCTGCTCATCATCAGGGTTTGTCAGGTATATGCTAATTCATATCTTTAAAAAAAAAAATGCATAAATTTTTTTTTTCAAGTTGATGTCACGTTGCCATGTAGTGTTGATTGCCATGCCTCTACACAGCCTTCTGTCTCATATACTGTCAGTCATTTCTAAAACAGTTGTTCTTAGATCCCATGATGCCAAATTGTCTAACCTTGTTTTGATCTCCTTCTATCTTTCTTCCCCTTCAACTTTTCCACTGTACCCTAGTTTTCATTTTCTCACAATTGTCAAAAAATGTAGTCTTTTTCTAATGTATTTAATCAGTTGTCTCTGTGAGATAATTTCTTTCATTACATCTACATTTTGTTTGATCTGTCCATCGTGCTGACATTATTTTTCTATAAAACAACATCTCTGCAGCCTCCACATAATTGTTCACTCCTTCCGCTTGCAATATCAGCCGCACAAAAACGGTCAGTCTGGGTCAAAAACAGGGAAGTTCACCACTCTTTCTCCCACAGCTGATCTTGTAACATAGCTTTCTTGAGTCAGATCCTCAGCCTTTGTTGGAAGTAATTTGGGCAGTTCTGCAGTACATGCTCGGAGTCTTGTTTGTCTGTACTGCATTCACAGTGGCAGCAGTATCTGTCGGAAGCCTAAAAATTGTTGTTCTTTCCTGTTAAATTTGTTTATGTTGTCGTTCTCCAGTCTGTAGTCTTCATTCTGTCTTCTCCAGTCTTCCTTGAATTACTGCTGTAGGAATGTTTTGGTTCTAATTTGCTGATTGTCCATGATTCACTTCCATTAATCAGGTTTAGTTATATTGCTCTTATCTCTCTGTCTCACCTCAGCTGAGAAAGATATATTACGTAGAATATTCTTCATCCTGTGAAGTACTTCTTATGCATGAGCTATTTTACAATGCTTCATCATCATCAACATCCTATAGTGCCATAATTTATCTCATAGGGCTCAAACGCTAGTCTTCAGCTCCATTCTGTCCTCTACCTATCTTGTGTAGGTGTGCTCCCAGGATTGCAGTCCATCATGTTTGGCCTCTGTCAGCAACATTCCCCTTAGAGTCTCTCCTGGATGTCTGTATTTGCTCAGTCCATTTGTTTTCCCATTTCACCTAATGTTTAATTATTCTCTATACGTTCCTTCTCACAGGATGTGCCCATTATATTGCAATCTTCTTTTTTTCTTGTAACTGACTGAGATACAAGTTTCCAGACATTTCTCTTATCTCTTTGCCTTTCCCGAATTAATATATTTGCCTTCTTGAAGACTTCTTCTTGGTAACACACAGTATGTTAGTAAGCTTGTTTGGTCTTCATTTGATGTGGATTTCTCATGTTTGTGTGCATACAAGTGTGAGAGAAGGGGTGCAGGTTTTCAGGTAAAAGAGGAGTATAATGGAGAGGGAAAAAGTGGCCCGCAAAAAGATAGTGGTGGCAAGGGGGAAGGAGGGGGGGGGGGGTATGTCTGCAGGAATTGAGAGAAAAACAGAGATGGAGAAAGCAAGAACGGAGAGGGGTGAAAAAGAAAATACTGGAAGAGCGAGAGAGAAAAAGAGGAGGTTGGTTATGGAGATTTTTTCGACAGGCCCACTATAAAGCTAAGTGATTTCTATGTATTTCTGATTGCAATTGTACCATTGGAATTGGCTCATAAACAGCATCCTGTTCCAAAAGCTGTTGGATTTTTGCCTTGTCAAGCGCCGTGGTGGTCTGGAGAGAACAGTAATGGAGGGTGTAGCTTCCAGAAAATGAGGCAGAGGCTGACGTTTGTGAAGGTTGAGAAAGGACATTGAAGATTCATTTGAAGAAAGCACACAGGAGAATTCTTCTTCTTCTCATTAACCCTCTGTAAACTCCGGCTGAAAATTCTATTTGTTTTTCCACCTCTAGACTTTAGTTTTGTTCCAGAATCTGAGTGTTGCATGCACATACATTTTACAGATCTGACTTATTTGTATGCTTATTGTTAGTTTCATGCCTCTCAGGCAGATGCACTCTGACTTCGAAGAAAGCCCCCAGTTCGGTGACTCTTACGACATGTGTTTTAGGGGAGCAGTGGGTCTATTCTTCTTTTCTCCACAATGGGGCCCTGGAACCCACACAGGGAACAGGAGAATTGACAAGGCGTGCAGTGAAGAGAGCGATGTTCTGTAAAAGACTTGCTGATTGATTGACTGAATTGTATCATTGTCCATTTGTATCATATGCTGATGAAAGCTTTCTAGCTGCAGTGTTCATTTTTTCAGTGTTCATACCATGATTATGGTATTATGAAACTGACTAGTTCTGCTTCTGATTTACCCCGTGTGGGTTTCCAGAGCACCGTTGAAGGGAAAACAAAAATAATCTAACTGCCTACCCAAAATCTTGTCATCAAAGTCGACTGTTTAGAAGCTTTCTTTGAAGTTGGAGTGCATATGTCTGAGAGGTGAGGAACCAACAGTCTGCATGCACATGTTAGATCTGTAAAATAGATGTGCATGCAACACTTAGGTTCTTGAACAGGACTGAAGTCCAGAAGTGGACGAACACTCAGATTTGTCTGCCAGAGTTTACAGCTGGTGAACAAGAAGAAGAAGACTTCTGATATGGGTTATATTTTTTTAATGGCGTAACTAAGACTTTAACTATTTCTGTTGCACATAGTACATTAACTCTATTGTTGCCACCTGTGCTCCATTGACTTTTGCAAAATACTTTTATGTTGTGCCAGCTGGAGGCATGGAAATGAAGTTCCTCCTCTAGATTCTGAGCACTACGCAGCCTAAAATAAATACCAGGAAATGACCTGGGGAGTAATGTAATCAGCGTGATGCTGACCACATCCTCATCAACCACCGACTGGTGTATTGGTACCATCAGAATTGGAACTGTGCTTTGGCTGCTGAAGACAGGGATTTAGCGCTTTCCCCAGTGCTATGATATTGGTTTTACCTCAGGTTGACTGGCTGATACACACATAGAGTGAGCACCATTTGTCAAATTCACCACAGAACAAGCCATTTGACAAGCCTGATTAGTATGTGTGAATCGTTAGCACTATATTTACCCATTCAGGTTACAGATCTGATAGTCACAACCATTATTTCATGCCAGATTTTCCTGTTTTCTCAAGGCACACCGTTTTATTTGATTTGTCTCATTGATAAATGTGAAAAAATATTTATGATTTTCATTTGACTCTTTTTCAGGTTACAGGTCTGATAGTCATGGCCATTTGACCATGCCAGATTCTCCTATCTACTCAAGTCATGGAAGACATACAGATTCTTCGATTGGTCCGTCTCATTCCTCAGATTCCCAACAAATTGTTAAAGTATGTCACTTCTTGTTTTAATTATTGCCAGTTTGGTCATCTTGTACATATCTTGAACGTACCATAAGTGTTTTTTTTTTTAGTTAGTTGCATTTCTATTAGAGGACATTGCAGACCAACCCCAACATTTGTTAGTTGTTTATGGTTTCATTAAGAAATGTTTACATTCGCTAGTTTGCCATTGCTTACTAAATGGTCGATGCCATTGTCAAAGTCAGTGCAAAGTGGTCTGCTATAAAATCTGCAGGTGAAGTCGAACCAGTATCTCAGAATTACAAACTTTGTTCACAACCCCTCAGCACATATACAATAAGGCATATACCAAAAGTGGAAAGGGGCATGTAGTTCAAAGTAGACCAAGAACAGATTAAAAAAGATAACTTCAAAGAAACTTGACAACTGTGGTGAGAATGAGAGTCTGTGGTCGAGGTGACCAGAGGAGCCAGAACCAGAACCTTGCATCTTCCTCTGCACCAGAAGTGGTAACAGAGGAAGTGAACTAGAAATTAAACTGTTTTCTTGTTTCTGTATTGTGAGTAGCAAGCCGTGTTGATGTGATGGCCAGCATGCTTTCATGGTAGCTCGTGGTTATAGGTTCAAATCTCCACGTTGAAATATATTTTTAACATTGACGTGAGCTTCCAATTCGCCTGCTTTAATATTGGTACTAAGAAATGTGTTGGGAAGTAAAAGTGGCTTCCATGGTCTGACTTCACCTCCCATTGAGCTCACAAATCCAGATATTTGGCCTGTTTATACATATTGAATGAATAATCATTTGAATAGTCTATTTCCTGTGTGGGATTAGGGCTTCAAAGGGCATTTGAGGGTAAAATGAATAACACTCCCCATCCCCCACACCACAAGCATGTCATAAAGAAAGATGACTTAATTGGGGTGTTTTCTTTAAGTCCGAGTGCACAGCCTGGGAAGCATGACATCAACAGTTTGCATACATGTGAGGCAGGTCTGTAAAATGGATGTGACTGCAAGACTCAAGTTTATGCCACAAATGATGGTTCATGCCACAAATGATAGATAGTTCTTGCCACAAGTGATAGTTCATGCCACAAGTGATAGTTCATGCCACAAGTGATAGTTCATGCCACAAATGATAGTTCATGCCACAAATGATAGATAGTTCATGCCACAAATGATAGTTCATGCCACAAATGATAGTTCATGCCACAAATGATAGATAGTTCATGCCACAAATGATAGTTCATGCCACAAATGATAGTTCATGCCACAAGTGATAGTTCATGCCACAAGTGATAGTTCATGCCACAAATGATAGCTCATGCCACAAATGATAGTTCTTGCCACAAATGATAGATAGTTCATGCCACAAATGATAGTTCATGCCACAAGTGATAGTTCATGCCACAAATGATAGCTCATGCCACAAATGATAGTTCTTGCCACAAATGATAGATAGTTCATGCCACAAGTGATAGTTCATGCCACAAATAATAGTTCATGCCACAAATGATAGTTCATGCCACAAATGATAGATAGTTCATGCCACAAATGATAGTTCATGCCACAAATGATAGTTCATGCCACAAATGATTTTTTTTTTTTTTTTACGTATCCAGAAACCATGAGTTGTAAACCCTTTGGCTCGGTATTATGGATATCGCAACCCTTCGGCCTTGATTCCATTATAGGTACCGTTAATCTGGGAAAAATGTGGCTTTTCTGCCTACCCCCGGGAGTGAACCCGGACCACAAGGAGTTCGTCACCCGGCCACTGCAAACGTCAGGTTTAACCAACTTCACTAGAGAGCTGGGCGCCACAAATGATAGTTCATGCCACAAATGATAGTTCATGCCACAAATGATAGTTCATGCCACAAGTGATAGTTCATGCCACAAATGATAGTTCATGCCACAAATGATAGTTCATGCCACAAATGATAGTTCATGCCACAAGTGATAGTTCATGCCACAAGTGATAGTTCATGCCACAAATGATAGTTCATGCCACAAGTGATAGTTCATGCCACAAGTGATAGTTCATGCCACAAATGATAGATAGTTCATGCCACAAATGATAGTTCATGCCACAAGTGATAGTTCATGCCACAAATGATATATAGTTCATGCCACAAGTGATAGGTAGTTCATGCCACAAATGATAGTTCATGCCACAAATGATAGTTCTTGCTACAAATGATTGATAGTTCTTGCCACAAATGATAGATAGTTCATGCCACAAATGATATATAGTTCATGCCACAAATGATAGATAGTTCATGCCACAAATGATAGTTCATGTCACAAATGATAGCTCATGCCACAAATGATAGTTCATGCCACAAATGATAGTTCTTGCCACAAATGATAGATAGTTCTTGCCACAAATGATAGATAGTTCATGCCACAAATGATAGATAGTTCTTGCCACAAATGATAGTTCATGCCACAAGTGATAGTTCATGCCACAAATGATAGTTCATGCCACAGATGATAGATAGTTCATGCCACAAATGATAGTTCATGCCACAAGTGATAATTCAGGCCACAAATGATAGATAGTTCATGCCACAAATGATAGTTCATGCCACAAGTGATAGTTTCATGCCACAAATGATAGTTCATGCCACACATGATAGTTCATGCCACAAATGATAGTTCATGCCACAAATGATAGTTCATGCCACAAATGATAGTTCATGCCACAAATGATTGCTCATGCCACAAATGATAGTTTATGTCACAAATGATAGATAGTTCTTGCCACAAATGATAGTTCTTGCCACAAATAATAGTTCATGCCACTAATGATAGTTCATGCCACAAATGATAGATAGTCCTTGCCACAAATGATAGTACATGCCACAAATGATAGCTCATGCCACAAATGATAGTTTATGTCACAAATGATAGATAGTTCTTGCCACAAATGATAGTTCATGCCACAAATGATAGTTCATGCCACAAATGATAGTTCATGCCACAAATGATAGATAGTTCTTGCCACAAGTGATAGCTCATGCCACAAATGATAGTTCATGCCACAAGTGATAGTTCATGCCACAAGAGATAGTTCATGCCACGAGTGATAGTTCATGCCACAAATGATGGTTCTTGCCACAAATGATAGTTCATGCCACAAATGATAGTTCATGCCACAAATGATAGTTCTTGTGACAAATGATAGTTCATGCCACAAATGATAGTTCATGCCACAAGTGATAGTTCATGCCACAAATGATAGTTCATGCCACAAATGATAGTTCATGCCACAAATGAGTTCATGCCACATGCCACAAGTGATAGCTCATGCCACAAATGATAGTTCATGCCACAAATGATAGTTCTTGCGACAAATGCTAGTTCATGCCACAAATGATAGTTCATGCCACAAGTGATAGTTCATGCCACAAATGATAGCATGCCACAAATGATAGTTCATGCCACAAATGATAGTTCATGCCACAAATGAGTTCATGCCACATGCCACAAGTGATAGCTCATGCCACAAGTGATGGTTCATGCCACAAATGATAGTTCATGCCACAAATGATAGTTCATGCCACAAATGATAGTTCATGCCACAAATGATAGTTCATGCCACAAATGATAGTTCATGCCACAAATGATAGCTCATGCCACAAATGATAGTTTATGTCACAAATGATGAATCATGCCATAATGATGGCTGAGTTTCTTGTGTGTGTGTGTGTGTGTGTTGCAGTCTCACGATTCCGGCCGTGCTGACTCAGGAATATCCTCCATTGACTACACAAGACAGGGAGATAGCTATGTCTGCTCTTTGTGTGGGAAGGTAAAAGTCTACTGTCTGTCTCTTAGTTGTTGTTTATAGACACATTTGTTCTAAATTGCTTGTCTTGTCTTGACCTCTCTGATCTTTTCCTGTTATGTCCTTTTTTGTGTTTCTTCATTCTGTGCTGCCCTTCCCTGTCTTAACTTGTTTTGTCTTGCCTTGTTTTTTCCTGTCTTGCCTTGTTCTGTCTTGTCGTGTCTTGTTTTAATCTGTTTTGAGTATTGCTAACATTCTACAAAATATGAACATGGATGAAAACTGGTCTATAAATAGTATCATGTTTCAGAAACTGTTATTATGACATCACCATGTTAATCTCCACTGTGATGTCACTTACTTAACACTCTTGACATCCTTAACAACAATATTGAAAGGTTGCCAGACAATGGCATGGTTATGGTAATTTCTTTCACACTTTTAAGGTTTTTATTTAAAGCCCGCTCTTATTATAGACAATTGCACAATGGTTCAGACAGAACAAAATTAGAAAGCATGCAGAAGAGCATGGGTGAAGAAGCAGGGGTTGATCATCATGAAGGTGGACACAGTAAATTGGGCATGAAAATAAATGAGGAGGGCCATTGACAAGAGATTGAGAAGTTTTACAAAAATTTAAAATTAAAAAGCACCCCCCCCCCACCCCCGGTCTCCCCCCCCCCCACCCCCCCTACCCCCACCCCCACACCAGGATTGCAGTCTGTAAAATTAATATCTAAAGAGAAAATCAAACAGGTAAAAATACAAGAAAATCATTTAATCGTACAGCCGTACAGCACAATTATATTGGAGCACCACAAAATAGCACTGAAATAACCTGTAATCCAGTGTGAATTGGTCGAGACTACATCTGGAGAGAAAAAAATTGGGGGGGGGGGGGGGGGGGGGGGGGGGGGGGGGGGGGAGTACTATTTTCAGCAGACTGTGCTGGGTATGATGTGTTATATGTGCTGTGTGTTACATGGAGATAAGATGATAAAGATAATGGATGCAGTTACCAAATAATTCTCAGCCCTTTCAAAGTTAAAAAAAAAAATTATCATAATAAAAATATTCATGCCAAGTCTTGTTGATGCTGTTACTTACATAGGGTGGGAGGGGGGAGGGTTTAAGTAAATGTCTGCATCATAACTTGCTATTAATTTTTATTGGGGTTGGGGGGTTAGTAAATGTCTGCATTCAAACTTGCTATTATATTAATGTTTATTGACAATCTGGCCAGGTTGTGGTATCAAAGGCAGCTATAACCAGACACATTCAGCTGACCCACGAGAAGAAGAAGCCTTTTGAGTGTAACATTTGCCACCGACGATTTGGCTACAAGAATATTCTAATGGAGCATCAGGTGAGATGGCACTGAGTAATGTTGTTTGCAGTGTGGATTCAGGATAGTGTTACCTTCTGGTTTCTAGTTTTTGTGTGTGTGTTTTTTTTAATACAAAGCACCTGGCCAGGTATGTGTGCATCCAGGAACAGATGTGTATTTATTTGAGAACGTATGTGGGAAATAAAGGTAAAGAAATATAGGGTGAAGAGTGGATAGAAAGACATAAAGAGAGTGAAGGACAGACAGACAGTCGGACAGATAGATGGATGGATATTGACGGAGGGACAGGTAGGTAAATAGACAAGCAGGCATGCAGTAGAGAGGTTGTAGGTAGATCTGGCTAGGTAGGTAGTTCTAAGGCATAGCTTTCCTCACAGTGTTGCCACACATTATCGTGTTGCCATCACACATCAATGTATCGGTTGCAGTGTGAAGGTGTAATTTATATATGTGTCCATATCTCTTATAATGGATTAGTTGAACCTCTGGCTTGCTAGTAGACTGAATTATCTTTGTCTAAAAAGTGTGGCACTATCATAAACAGTTTAGAACGCTCAGATCTTAGGAGTGGCTATCTCATCTCGCAGAAAAACTATAGCAGAGGATTTCAAACCTTATCTCATATAAAACTCTAGCATGGGATTTCCAACCTTATCTCATATAAAACTCTAGCAGGGGATTTCAAACCTTATCTCATATAAAACTCTAGCAGAGGATTTCAAACCTTATCTCATATAAAACTCTAGCAGAGGATTTCCAACCTTATCTCATATAAAACTCTAGCATGGGATTTCCAACCTTATCTCATATAAAACTCTAGCATGGGATTTCCAACCTTATCTCATATAAAACTCTAGCATGTTATTTCCAACCTTATCTCATATAAAACTCTAGCAGGGGATTTCAAACCTTATCTCATATAAAACTCTAGCAGAGGATTTCCAACCTTATCTCATATAAAACTCTAGCAGAGGATTTCCAACCTTATCTCACAGAAAACTCTAGCAGAGGATTTCCATCCTTATCTCATATAAAACTCTAACAGAGGATTTCCAACCTTATATAAAACTCTAACAGTGGATTTCCAGCCTCATCTTATATAAAACTCTAGCATTGAATTTCCAGCTAGACGAACAAGGCAGACCACAAATGCCCCCTTTTGGCCTCTACAGCCTTAGATGCCAAACCAGCCTGGAGCATGCTGCAGTCCTATGCAAATAAGGATGTTGTCTTCACTGTCAGATCATTGCATAATATTCTCCCTCATTGTTTTCCATGAACAGAACATCCACTTTGGCATCAAACCCTATGCCTGTACCCTGTGTGACAAACGGTTTGCAGCCCGCTCCAACTTGTTCCAGCACCGCCTACTCCACATGAAGCCATTCTGCTGCTATATTTGTAACAAACGTTTCGACAGAGATGAGCAGTTGCAGCGCCACCTGAAGTTACACCCCACAGCCAATGCCTTGTCTTGCAGGTAAGAGTTTGTACGCATTCCAGTTCTAATGGTCATTTTGTTCTGTAGGTCTATTGTTGTCTTATTAGCTTCACAGTCTGTTGTTGTCTTATTAGCTTCACAGTCTGTTGTTGTCTTATTAGCTTCACAGTCTGTTGTTGTCTTATTAGTTTCATAATCTATTGTTGTCTTATTGGCTTTACATTCTTTTGTTATCTTATTAGTTTCATAATCTATTGTTGTCTTATTGGCTTTATAATCTATTGTTGTCTTTTTAGTTTTATAATCTATTGTTGTCTTATTGGCTTTATAATCTATTGTTGTCTTATTGGCTCTACATTCTGTTGTTTTATTAGCTTCACAGTCTGTTGTTGTCTTATTAGCTTCACAGTCTGTTGTTGTCTTATTATTTTCATAATCTATTGTTGTCTTATTGGCTATAACATTCTTTTGTTGTCTTATTAGTTTCATGATCTATTGTTGTCTTATTGGCTTTATAATCTATTGTTGTCTTATTAGTTTCATAATCTGTTGTTGTCTTATTGGCTTTATAATCTATTGTTGTCTTATTGGCTTCACGTTTATTTGTTGTCTTATTGGCTTCACGTCTCTTTGCTGTCTTATTGGCTTCACATTCTTTTGTTGTCTTATTGGTTTCACATTCTTTTGTTGTCTTATTGGCTTCACATTCTTTTGTTGTCTTATTGGCTTCACATTCTGTTGTCTTATTAGTTTCACATTTATTTGTTGTCTTATTGGCTTCACATTCTTGCTCTTCTTTTCTCCTTTGTTTTTGTCTTCCTTTCTTTGTTTTTTCCTTCCTTCCTCCCTTCCTTTCTTCATTTGTTCCTCCCTTTTGACCTTTATTCACCTGTTTACGACCACCTTTGTTTACTCATATTCACCACTTGTTCTGTGTTTGTGACCTCCAGCCAGTGCTCATTTACAGCCACAAATGTGGAAGCCTTGAACCAGCACCTACAGGAGAACCACAAGCTGCTTACCTATGATACTCGCCGACATTCATCCAGTTTTGACAGTGACAGCGGGGACACACCTTCACAGGTAAGCATTTGAGTCGACTGCGTTATGAGTTGGTTTATGCTTAGATTCCTTTCTCAACATATTCATCAGCATCGCGCAGTTAATAGTGCCAGTCTTATGCTGGTTGACACAACTTTGTGAGCGTCCAGTGTGCTTATCATGCTTGGCTGTGCCGATCTTCACTCCTAATTCTTGTATTCTTACCAGTGATGTGGACATGTTGCTTTCAAAATCTTTGGACTACCTATCTCTCTAAGGGAATTGACAATGTCTGCATGATCCATGGGCCGGCCATCGTCACTTAATGCGGCACCTGCCAGTCTATCAGCTCTTTCATTACCAACAACACCTGCATGCCCTGGGACAAATATGAAGGTAACTACACACACAGGAGAGTTTTGTTAAACAATCCACTGTCTATGTAACCAGCCTGCCTTGACTCGCCGGATCATGCTCAAAGAATCACTCAGCACACACACGTGGGAATAGTCCTGTGATCCCAGCCACATGAAAGCTTGTGTCATCGCCATCACCTCCATCGTTATGCTTCTGGTTGTCATGGAGAAGGCGCTGCAGGCTTCTTGAACTCTACTGCCTGAAGAGCGAGTTGTAAATGCCCATGCACTCTTTATGTCCTCGTATAACAGACCCGTCTGTGAAGATCAGCACATCTGTCTCATCTGACTTGTCACTGATAAGTGCGTGTTCTTCGGCGTTGACAGCAGCGGGATTCTGCTTCCGACAACTCCTGTCAAGCAACACCACACAGGAGAATGTGAGATTGGGCGCTTTAGACGCTGGTATCCTTTCCCCACCTGGATGGATATATGTAAGGCTGCAGACCTGAATGATTTCATCCTCTGCCCCACCTAGCCATGATTTGCCCCTTTTAAGTCTATTGCCCTTTTTTCCTGAAGAGCATGTGGTGTAGAGGGTAAAGTCGACTGCTTCCAAGTCATTATAATTTTTGTATCATGTTGGAATAATTCTTAAAATGCTTATGACAGCCTTTCTTCGGCATATTCATCAGCCAAGCCATCTCATCTCTTGCTCATTAATGAACTGTTTTTAGCTATGGTCTTGAATAATTTCATCATTTTTTTTGTGTGGATCTCTTCTTGTATTCAGACAGCTCTTCTAAGTATTCTCATCTCTGTTGTTAAAATTTTGCGTTCATTATTTGTATTTTGAGGGTCAGTTTGTTTTTACACTGGTAGTATGAAGTTTGTCAACAAATGGTTCTTTTTCAATTTACCTTGGTTGACAAAAACGTGGTAGAATAATTTTTGTACTCTTCATTGTTTCTTAAAATAATTATTCTACCTGTGGCTTGTTGAAATGAATGGAATTATAACTGTGGCTTGTTGAAATAATTAGAATTAAACTATTTCGTTCCACTTACATTAATAAAGGGGGGGGGGGGGGGGGATCATGACCCCGTAGGAATTCTCGAAAGAATCCTTTAAAAGCAACAGTTTTACAGAAATTACAAATAATTTCTTTTCTGTAAACGTGTGCATTTTAAAATTTTATTTTCAGTACATATAAAATGAGTAATCAATAAACATGAACAGAATAAAGCATTAAAATGGCCTACAAAAGTAAAATGTATCAACAGTTAACAGAGAAAATCTAATGTGGACAGCCACTGTATCAACAGTTATCAGAGAGAATATGTGGACAACCACTGGTATCTAACAGTTATCAGAGAAAATAAAACAACCACTGGTATTAACAGTTATCAGAGAAAATATGTGGACAACCACTGGTATCAACAGTTATCAGAGAAAATATGTGGACAACCACTGGGGTATCAACAGTTATCAGAGAAAATATGTGGACAACCACTGGTATCAACAGTTATCAGAGAAAATATGTGGACAACCACTGGGGTATCAACAGTTATCAGAGAAAATATGTGGACAACACTGGGGTATCAACAGTTATCAGAGAAAATATGTGGACAACCACTGGTATCAACAGTTATCAGAGAAAATATGTGGACAACCACTGATATCAACAGTTATCAGAGAAAATATGTGGACAACCACTGATATCAACAGTTATCAGAGAAAATATGTGGACAACCACTGGTATCAACAGTTATCAGAGAAATATGTGGACAACCACTGGGGTATCAACAGTTATCAGAGAGATATGTGGACAACCACTGGTATCAACAGTTATCAGAGAAAATATGTGGACAACCACTGGTATCAACAGTTATCAGAGAGAATATGTGGACAACCACTGGGGTATCAACAGTTATCAGAGAGAATATGTGGACAACCACTGGTATCAACAGTTATCAGAGAGATATGTGGACAACCACTGGTATCAACAGTTATCAGAGAAAATATGTGGACAACCACTGGTATCAACAGTTATCAGAGAGAATATGTGGACAACCACTGGTATCAACAGTTATCAGAGAGAATATGTGGACAACCACTGGTATCAACAGTTATCAGAGAGAATATGTGGACAACCACTGGTATCAACAGTTATCAGAGAGAATATGTGGACAACCACTGGTATCAACAGTTATCAGAGAAAATATGTGGACAACCACTGATATCAACAGTTATCAGAGAAAATATGTGGACAACCACTGGGGTATCAACAGTTATCAGAGAGATATGTGGACAGCCACTGGTATCAACAGTTATCAGAGAAAATATGTGGACAGCCACTGGTATCAACAGTTATCTGAGAGAATATGTGGACAACCAAAGAATCTTAAAGCAGGCATAGAAATGAGAAACAGATTGACTGAGGAGGTGAGGAAGTCTAAGAGAAACCCTTTGACAGACATTGATGAGAGATGGCTGAGGTACTGAACTGAATTTCATAAATGATATTAAAAGCATTGCATAGAACAGAACGGTGGGAAGGGATCAACTATGAGCACTATGTGATGTATAAATGTTGCAACAGTATGATGATAATGTTTATAATATGATTATGATGATGAATAACCATTCTCAGGCTTTGTAACTTAATGATGACTGTTACAAAGATGATAAGGAGCAAATACCCTAGGAATAAAGAATTTGATGAAAGTGTAACTAAAACAGTTGTTTTAATGTAACCACTCATGTGTAACTTCCTATTTCAGCTTGTCATGTCCTTACCAAGTCCTACACTTACTTCCCCTGACAAATCACCTAGCCATCAGATGTCGCTGCAGATCGATTCCGATGCCATGAGGAGAATTGACTCAATCTGCTCACAGTTAGCCACCAGAGGCCAAGGCCACCATGGAGGAGATGGAACCCAGGTTAAACAAGAACCACTGTCACCAGGTGGTGTTAGATTCCCCCCGAACTCATCGCCTCACAGCTTCCCACCAGCCTCTCCTTCTAGGGACCAACTCTTCAACCACGGTTCCCCGACCTCCACCATCAGTAATTCATCCTGCATCAGTATTACATCTCGCTGCCACAACCAGCGTCTGCCACCATTTTCAACCGCCCTGGGACGACCTTACTCCAATCCCTCAGATCCTGAACAGGTCAGTCCCCTTTCAATGGTAGCTTGTCGCAAAGACGCATCTCCGATCCCAGGGATGGAGTCCCACGGGAATAAATTCCACATGAGCATGAACAATTCCCGATTTCTACCTCCAAATCGCAGAGCAAACTCCCTGGGCTCAGTGAATCACATGGGTTCATTAAGACACAGTGGTCCAGCACCAGAACACGTACGATCGATTGCCGACTCCACCAGTAATCTGTCCGAGTTTTTCTCGACTCTTCAGGGACTCGTCCAAAGATCACAGGAGATTCCAGAGCTTCATGTCAACATTTCAAGACCAAAAGTGTGTAGTTAACGTTCCATACCTGTCTCATATAGTTACTATCATCATCAGTACCTGTCTCATATAGTTACCATCATCATCAGTACCTGTCTCAAATAGTTACTATCATCATCAGTACCTGTCTCATATAGTTACTATCATCATCAGTACCTGTCTCGTATAATTACTATCATCATCAGTACCTGTCTCATATAGTTACTATCATCATCATTACCTGTCTCATATAGTTACCATCATCATCACTGTGTTTGACATCAATTGATGATATTACTGACCCACGTAATAACTGACTGATTAGAAGAAAGGCAAGACGGACATGTTATCTTTCTTCTTCAGGTTCACCAGCTGTAACCTCTGGTGGAAAATTCGGATTTTTCGTCCGCTGATTTTCACACGCAAAAAGTTCTGGAACCAGAACAAAGTCCAGAAGTGGATGAACAACCAGAACTTTCCACCGCATCTCACAGCCAGTGGATGTTATGAAGAAGAATCAGTGAATGACAGCATTACTGACTGACATCATTTTCGACTGGCATAATTACTAACTGGCATCATCTCTGACTGTATTTGAACGTATGCTTTTTCTCTAGATTTCAGTATTTTTTTATTGTGCTGTGTTATTTAATTACTGTAGCTCAGTGGCTAGAAGCTTTCCAGCCAGGCTCAAGATCATAAGTTGCATGCACATCCGTTTTACAGATCTGGCTTATTTGTATGCAGATTGTTGGTTCCTTGCTTTTCAGACAGATTAACTCCAACTTCGAAGGAAACCCCTAGGGAGGCAATAGGTCCATTCTTGTTTTTCCCATATTGGGGTCCCAGAGCTCCTACAGGGAAGATTTCTATATTTGACCTAAGGCTGCCAAGTTGACCCTATCTAAAACGGATACAAGAGGTGTTGATTATTACCCATCAGTTGCCAATCAGTCTGTAAAAATACTGGTTTAGTGCCTAGGTCCTTTACTCTGTGAAGAGGGTGAGGTGTTACCAGGGAATCTGGCTGACGCTAAACACTCAAAGTTAAAAGGCAAGATGGTTACACAATGAGACTTACTACTGGTGCCATTAGAATTGGAACTCTGCGCTTGCTACTAAAGATGGGGACGGAGCGCCTATGTTAATGTCCTGAGTTCTGTGATGTTGATTTTTAATTCAACATTCATTCTCTGAATTACCTTCTTCGTCTTTCTTTGACTTATGCACCATAAGATATTTTCTGTTGGAGACAGAATCTATGGGTATACTCGGTACACTGATGTCAGTTCTCAAATCAGTTACAAATATAACGTTGGGATCTTATTCGGGACCCGGGTTCAAATCCTCAGTAAGATTGGGTTTTTTTTATTGGAGGGGGGGGGGGGAGGGGGTACGACAGGACTAGCCATGCGCCCCTAAATTCTCAGGTTCAAAATACCACAAAATGGTAAATACAGACAGTAACAAGCATAGACTTTGACATAATTGTATTTTGGCTTAACAGATACCAATCATCTTTTTCAGATCACCAAAGATGTTAGTACCCAGTACAATAACACCAACTTACCTGGCGAGCTGCCTTCATTAGAGGATCTTCTCATTTACTATGAATCTCAAGGCAGACTGTACCGGTGCCAGCATTGCCGAATCAGCTTCGAAGAACGAGGCTTGTATTTTTTACATAAATCGCTGCACGGTGAGATGAGTCCCTGGCAATGTAGCATCTGTCTCAAGTTTTGTGCCGATAGAAATGATTTCCATCTGCATTTTGTGAACCAGCAACATCGGCCAGAGCATATCTTACACTGAATAAGAGAATGGATCGATGAATTCCAGGGAAGCAATTTGGGGGTTGGGTGTGGATAAATAGACCCACAGCTCCTATACAAACCTGTCCTAAAAGAAGTCTAATTAGAAAATTGCTTAAATCGGATGGGGCTGATATCGCAGCCTAGCTTTAAACCACAATACAGCATGCCAACTGCTCTTTTAAGGGAGAAAGCAGAAGAAGATAAGGAAGACCATGAAACAGTTTAGACCACTGTTATCAGAAATCCTGGCATACTTTAGAGTTGATCATTATCTTTCTTTGCGTGAAGTGTCATGGTAAGGAAATAATTGGTTATCCAGCACTCGACTGGGATCTCTGGCTATTATCATTCGATGTGAGTGAACAATGTCTAAGTGTTGTCAGTCCATCTTCTTCTTGGTGCCCTTCTACACTGGTATCAGCTGTTCTTGGTCAGATAATGTACTGGTGTTGCTGCATATCTAACAAGATGCCCAGATATTTAATATTCAGTTTCCTAATGTATCTGACACAAGAAGTTATTTGCACCGTCTGCCTGATCTGATATATAGCACGTGTTGTTGTTTGCACAATCTGCCTGATAATATCATATTAAATCCTGCAACACCAGGGTCAACCCAGCTGCATTTAATAAACTGTTTTTTTTTTTTAATTATTGATTGCCAGATGGCCAGGAGATACTGATTTTTTTGTAAGAATGGTTGCCCGGCTCTCTAGCGAAGCTAGTTAAACCTGACTTTCGCGGCGGCCGGGTGACGAACTCCTTGTGGTCCGGGTTCACTCCTGGGGGTAGGCAGAAAAGCCACATTTCTCCCAGATTAACGGTACCTATAATGGAATCAAGGCCAAAGGGTTGCGATATCCAAAGTACCAAGCCAAAGGGTTTACAACTCATGGTTTCTGGATACGATAAAGAAAAGAAAAATTGTAAGAATGGCATAATACCTTGAGTACGCCAGAATGGACTAGAATAAGGAGCTCTTCCCCTGTTATTCTTCAATGTTTTTACCATCAGCATTGGAGCTCTTTGCTGGCTGCTGAAGATGAGGACAGAGAATTCCAGTGTTGTAATAACTCAACTCAGTTCTTACATTTTGTAAAGAGTATTGATCAATGAAAATAATATGAATTTTCTTGTCTGTGAGTGCCTATAATTAGGCAGCTTTGTTTTAGGATTCCTTAAGGCTGTTATATATTTTTTTTAATTAGATTTTTCTAATTCCAAAGATGCCTTGAATGGCACATGTTTTTCGCTATTTAAGATGTTGCCTTATTGGTTTTTGTTTTTCTTTCTTTTATACACTCAGCAGATTTATTTATAAAAAAAAATTTTTTTTTAAGTCTCAGTGTGGAAAATGTGATGTTTGTATTTATGTCAGTATTGGTCTGTTTACCTCATGCAGTTTTGTTACTTACAGGGTACGTTGTTTTTACATTGCATGAGACTCCTCAGCAAGGTAGTGAAACTTTTTGCCATTTCACAAGACAGAGAGGAAGATCTGGCTCACAAAAACAGGAAAAACTACTGGGGACTGGTGAAGATTTCAAGTCACTTATGTATGAGTTTTGGGAGAAAATTGAAAAACTTCAAGTGAATTAAGAGCTGAGGAAGACACAAATGTTGGATAGGACACACGTTGAGAAAACCGGATAACAGTGTAACTAGAATATCTTGGCACTGGAACCAGCAGGATCAAAGGAGTAAGGCAGACCAAACACACAGGGAGAAAGGAACTGGAGAGTGAAGTTATAAAGATAGGGAAGACATGTAATAGCATAGGATAGGACTACTTGGCATGAGTTGGTTGAGTACCTATGCTCCATTGGGGGATAAAAGGCAGAAGAACAACTCGGGTGTACCAATATATTTATGACTCATGCTAGAACAGTTGCACAAAAACGTTGATTGCTGAACAAGAAATAACTCGCTCAAGCTGTAATATTGTCATAAAATTATCACCACCTGATAACAGTAAAGAGTATTCTGTTTAGCTGATTATCTGCACCTCAGATACACTATAGTGTATACCAATTTTTATCAAATTATCTCCACCTGAAACCAGATAGTGTATACTAGTTTTCATCAAGTTATCTCCACTTGATACCAGGTAGTGTATACCAGTTTTCTTCAGATTGTCTCCACCTGATGCCATGTGGCATATTCACATTGTCATCAAATTATCTCCACTTGAGTCCTTGTAAAATATACCAATTCCCTCAGACTGTCGCCACATGTGACATATCAATTACTCATATTTCTGCATAATTACCTCATCTGTTGCTGTATGTATTGTTGTGTAAAATAATCTCCACCTATTACTATATATAAATTAGCACTTTTTTCTTCAAATTATCTCCCCAGTATCAAACTGAATTGTGTCACCATTTTCACTTTCTGTATCAACTGTGTTAATCAGAGGTTTTTCACCCTCTCCATTTAATGTGACGTACATTTATTGGTAGGGAAATATTTCTCACTTTTCCAAAGTGGTCAGTGAGTATTGGTTGTTCTGACAAAAGTATCAATATTTTGTGTGTGTGTGTATGTGTTTTTTTGTTTATATACATGAGTATGCACAATCCAACCTGTGAACTGTATATTTACACTAACCATGTTTAGTGTGATGTCTTAAATGACAGTATTTTTATTCTTTGGTATTTATTTATGTAGTTTCTTATTTGAAAAAAAAAAAAATTTGACAACTTTGTGGCTGTTCCTGGAAAAGTGTGATCCATCAGTATATTTATGTTCAGGTTGTTAAGTATTCATGATTCTAGCATTAACCTATTATGTATATGGAGACAGTGTTTCTTCTTGGCAAGTGTTTGGGGGAAGGCGACAGGTCATTTGCTGATGAACCATTTATTGATATGGATTTTGTTTTAATTATCTGCACCACGATTGTGTGTTTTTGCTTGCTGCCCCGAGATCTAGGGCTCTCGTGTTAGCCTAGCCTCCTCTTCATCTTCTTTGTGTTCACCAGCTTCAAACTCCAGTGAAAAGTTCAGGTTGGTCATCCACCCCTGGATTTTAGTCATGTTCCAAAACCTGAGTGTTGTATGCAGACTGTTGGTTTCTTGCTCCTCAGGCAAATGCACTCCGATTGTGAAAATAAGACCCTAATTAGTCGACTGATATGACATGCATTTTGGGAAGGCAGTGGGTCTCTTCCTGTGTTTCCCACAATGCGGCCCCGTTACCCACACAGGGTAACCCTAGCCTAAAATAAGCACCAGGAGATGAGCCAGTGGTATGTCGGGCATATGACTTGGAATCGAGCTCGCCTATTTTGTTAATTCCAAAGGAAAGGTAACACCAGTATGTTCGGTGAACACAAGATAAATTATTGTTTTCTCAAAAACACAAATACATTCAAGATGCAATACAAAATCATAAAACACAGATAGCTGGCCATTTTGAGGCATGCTGAAGAAGCTGGCAGATCAGAAGAGCGGTGCTCTGTCTGTCTTCCTATTGCAGCTTCCCACCCAGACCAGCTGAATGTTGAATGTTAAATTAAGAATCAACACAACAGCACTCGGGACACTCCCATAAGTGCTCAGTCCCCCATCTTCAGCAGCAGGCTGTACCCTAGGTCCTCCTCCTCCTCCTTCCTGGACTTGACCTGGTACCCAGTGTAGGCTGGGTTTTGGAACTGTGGGCTGGGTTTTGGGACGGTAGGCTGGGTTTTGAAACGCTGGGTTTTGGAACTGTAGGCTGGGTTTTGGAGCTGTAGGCTGGGTTTTGGAGCTGTAGGCTGGGTTTTGGAACTGTAGGCTGAGTTTTGGAACTGTAGGCTGGGTTTTGGAACTGTAGGCTGGGTTTTGGAACTGTAGGCTGGGTTTTGGAACTGTAGGCTGGGTTTTGGAACTGTAGGCTGGGTTTTGGAGCTGTAGGCTGGGTTTTGGAACTTTAGGCCTGGTTTTGGAACTGTAGGCTGGGTTTTGGAACTGTAGGCTGGGTTTTGGAACTGTAGGCTGCCCTAAAATAACTTTTTTTATTCAATGCAGTTGAATACATTTCTGTGACTGTGCCTCTTAGATTAGCGCCCAAATCAGGACTCTTTCAAGTCGCACGAGGCCAGCCTATCAGACTGCAATTAAAACACAAAGTTAACTATTTATGTGTGACGATTGAACCAACAAACTTTATTTTCAAAGGTTTAACCCCCTGACTACCACACGCATTAACCCTAGCACTTTCCCAGATACTACGTATTTTAGGATGTACTAAAAATGCCATAGCTACATAATTATTTAAGATAAACTGGGGGTTTATCGTGGTAGCCAGGCAAAAAATGTTGGATGTATTGGTGTTTACCTTTCCTTCGGAAGGAACAGAGTAGGCCATGAGAGGGATCATGTTGCATGGGCAATATATATGTTTTACAGACATGGAACTGGCACCATATGTCCAAGGTGCTTCAAGACTTAGAGTGGTTTTTTTAAATACTTGTGCATAATAATAATTGTTGTTGTTGTTTTAATTATTATGAGTGTTTATGTGCCATTATTGAGACTGGTTTTTGGCTTTCAGTTCATGGCTTACCTCCTGTACCATTAGCTGTTAGGGTCTCATATGGTGTGTGGGGATGTAAATGTGTGTGTGTGTGTGTAAATGTGTTTGTATGTAAATGTTTGTGTGTGTGTGTGCAAATATGTGTGTATGTAAATGAGAGCCTACACAGTGGCAGGTAGGGAAACGATTGCTGAGCCATGAGTTCATCCAGAACTCAAGTTTAAACAAGACTAAAGTCTAGAAGTGGTTGAACAACCAGAACTTTCCGCCAGAGTTTACAGCTGGCGAATGTGCAGAAAAGGAAGAAATAATTTTGTGTTATAACTAACACTTCTTGTGACCAGCTTGACTACCGTCAGCCCCTATTTACATCACCAGTTTAAGTGTAAAAATGCAGACAAAGAAACGGTAATCAGTATGCCTTAAACTGGGAAGATTTGGTGAAAGATAGATAGAGGAAGCCAAGAAGATTCTGGGGAG